TTCCAAAAAATTCAGTGGGTAACAAAGCTTAAGACCAATCGCATCAATATTCTTAAATTCTTCATCTAAGAATTCTGGACTCACAACTCGAAGAGCTCTTAGATACATTGAAGAAAAAATTGACTTTTTTACATTGTATTTATGCCCTGAAAAATAATGAACATAAGATAAATTGTTCGTAGGTTTTCTGTAAACACTAAACTTTAATGAAGAGTTTTCCCTATGAATAAGCACATCTAAGAATGGCAAACATTTATCAATTTCAGTCTCCATAGTAAATTTTATGGAGGTGACTTGATCATTAAGTTTGGCTACAAATTCGTCTGTGTTTACATCTGAAGGCCAAATACACAAGATATCATCAACATATCTAAACCAAGGAATGATTCCAGGAGTTATTTTTGAAACAAATTTCTTTTCAAAGAATTCCATGTACAGGTTTGAGAGCAATGGCGATAGAGGATTCCCCATTGCCATTCCAAAAGTCTGTAAATAATACTCATTATTAAAGGTAAATTTACATTCTTTAATGCACAACTTAACAAGACTGACAATAATATCAGCAGAAAGAGGTAAGTCATGGCTCATTAGTTCACGAGCAAGATAATCGAGAATATCATCGACCGGTACCTTTGTGAACAAGGAACAAACGTCAAAACTGATTAACTTTACATCAGGAGTGACAGGAACACTATTCAATTTGTTAACTAAATCAAGAGAATTTGTCAAATGAGAAGAGGAGATAGTTCCTAACAAAGGGGACAAGATTTTGGTAAGCCATTTGGAGAGTTTGTAAGAAATGGATCCCACAGAACTGATGATAGGTCTCATGGGATTGTTAGGCTTATGCGTCTTGACAAGACCATATAGATATGGTAATGAAGGTGATGAAGTAGTATTTCTTACAAACTCTCCAAATAATTTCTTACAAACTCTCCAAATGGCTTACCAAAATCTTGTCCCCTTTGTTAGGAACTATCTCCTCTTCTCATTTGACAAATTCTCTTGATTTAGTTAACAAATTGAATAGTGTTCCTGTCACTCCTGATGTAAAGTTAATCAGTTTTGACGTTTGTTCCTTGTTCACAAAGGTACCGGTCGATGATATTCTCGATTATCTTGCTCGTGAACTAATGAGCCATGACTTACCTCTTTCTGCTGATATTATTGTCAGTCTTGTTAAGTTGTGCATTAAAGAATGTAAATTTACCTTTAATAATGAGTATTATTTACAGACTTTTGGAATGGCAATGGGGAATCCTCTATCGCCATTGCTCTCAAACCTGTACATGGAATTCTTTGAAAAGAAATTTGTTTCAAAAATAACTCCTGGAATCATTCCTTGGTTTAGATATGTTGATGATATCTTGTGTATTTGGCCTTCAGATGTAAACACAGACGAATTTGTAGCCAAACTTAATGATCAAGTCACCTCCATAAAATTTACTATGGAGACTGAAATTGATAAATGTTTGCCATTCTTAGATGTGCTTATTCATAGGGAAAACTCTTCATTAAAGTTTAGTGTTTACAGAAAACCTACGAACAATTTATCTTATGTTCATTATTTTTCAGGGCATAAATACAATGTAAAAAAGTCAATTTTTTCTTCAATGTATCTAAGAGCTCTTCGAGTTGTGAGTCCAGAATTCTTAGATGAAGAATTTAAGAATATTGATGCGATTGGTCTTAAGCTTTGTTACCCACTGAATTTTTTGGAAGTTTGTCGTAACAAAGCTCGTCGTACATATTATAATAATGTATGCAGTGAAAGGATTCGCCCAAAGAATGTGTTATGTTTACCATATTTCTCTGGGTTTGAGAATATTGTCAAGGCCTTGAAACTTTTTAATATAGATGTAATGTTTAGCTACGAAAACACTGTTGGTAAGCTATTAGTAAGGAACAGCCCTCGTAGTGATAATTGCGTCATTTATAAAATACCTTGTAAGGAATGTAATAAGTTCTATGTCGGGCAAACATCTAAAGATTTAAAATGTAGAATATCGCAACATAAATACTCTGTAAGACATGGCCAATTATCTAATGCTTTGTTTGTGCATTTGTCAGAAAAAGCTCACCAAATTGATTGGGAGAGTGCGTCTTCAATAACAAATTGTAAAAGCACCTATAACAGAAACATAATTGAATCCGCTTTGATACAGATCACCAAAGAAAGTAATTTGAATATTAGCAGTGGTCTATATAACTTAGATCCATTTCTAATAGATCAGCTAAAGGGCGATTTAAGTAGAATCATTGAAAAACATTTGTCACACTAATTTATTGTATATATTTACCTCTTTATGTTATAATTTCCTATGTATTATGCTTGTATGTCTGCTGTATCAGATGGGCCATTGGGCTACATCGGATGGGCCAATTGGGTGCATCTGATGGGCCAATGGGCCTTCTGCGTTGTCCAAGTATTGTACCTCACCTTACTTCACCACTCTCTCCTGCCTATTTATACCCATCACTCGATCTGTAAAATGACCTTCTGAAGATGTATTTAATATACGAAAGTACTTAAGGAAATTTCCTGTTTCATTTTCCTCCGTGGTCTGACATTGTCACATTCTTAATCACGTGTTTATTTTCGTGATATACACGAAATATATATATATATATATATATATATATATATATATATATATATATATATATATATATATATATATATATATATATATATATATATATATATATATATATATATATATATATATATATATATATATATATATATATATATATATATATATATATATATATATATATATATATATATATATATATATATATATATATATATATATATATATATATATATATATATATATATATATATATATATATATATATATATATATATATATATATATATATATATATATATATATATATATATATATATATATATATATATATATATATATATATATATATATATATATATATATATATATATATATATATATATATATATATATATATATATATATATATATATATATATATATATATATACATACAATGAATACACAGGCTACCTGTTCCAAACAACGGGAATTATTATTGGCATTAATTAATAGTGGATTTAAGCATTGCATGTACTAGCTCCATCTATAAATCGATCAATTTATGTAAAATCTCTTGTATGTATGTACCTTACCTGAATAAACATTTTATTTATCTTATTTTATTGCACAACCCACAAACAGTTATGGTTTCCCTTCGCTCCACCATAACCTAACATTTTTTGTATTCAATATTCTGTTTTCTTTGATTTGCATTACGGGGGTCTTATTTAAATGTGATTAATTTTTTAGTAGAGAAGCAAATACTCTACAATAATAATAATAATAATAAAATAGAATCAGATTATAATAGTTACTTAGTAGGTTCAGTATTTACATATTTAATCAAAAACTTTCGCCGTAAATTATAATACCACTTAATGTTTTCCTCAAATCCAGTTTTTTAGTTTAGTTCATTTATTATGCACCCCATACCCATCTTGTGGGCGGTAGTGGAAAGAGTTACAGAGGCACATAATGGGCTCAGGGACTGAACCCCACAATTCATTTAGGTAAACAAGTTACAATCTTGATGAACTAGTTACAAAATTCAATATAAGTCGTCACATCAACAATGGGTTCGAGATCGACCACAAGTACAGGTTCTAAATTAAGCAACTGACATATGTGGAGAGCTAGTGTCACAATTGATATGTTTGTCCTGCACACCGCCCCCCCATCCAGTGGGTAGCGGTGGATAGGTTACAATCACTTAGTTGCTACCTACAGTTAGCAAACGGGATATTTGGCTAAAATTTCTGGTAGCAGATCATTTTGAATGAAATATTTACACATCGTTGGAATATTGGTTATAGAATTGTCTCTAAATTCACGTATCTTTTCGCACTCCATCACATAGTGACGGAGGATGTGCGAATAATTTTGTTGACACAGTTTACATTTGGTCAGGTCTACATCAGCAGATAATGAAAATTCCCAGAGATACTTATACTGTAACGAGTCTAAGCCGAGCAGTAGTAACATCTAGAAGTCTGCTGATTTTATTGGATGATCCATAGATGTGTGGCTCCTTTTGCATGATAGTATGATGATAGATGGAATTACTGGTGTCATTTTCACTTTGCCTCAGATCTACAAGATCTTGTTGAAGTTCTTGGTGTACTGCTGCTCTCAGACTGCTTATTGACAATCCAAGGTTATACTCAATTTCTCCTTTAAAGGCAGATTCTTTGGCTAACTTATCAGCTCTATCATGCACTTGGAGGGGCAACATGAGATGGAGACCACACGAAATGGACTCTGTTACCATCCTTAATAATTTTGTTGTATTTGTGTCTAGCTTCGGACACGAGCATGTTACAGTTATGTCTTAAAGAGTTGAGAACATTTAAGGATGATAAAGAGTCACCTACAATTAATGTATCAAGTTTGGGGACTTGTACACATTTCATTGCAAGGATCAAGGCAAATAGTTCGGTCAGCACCGAACACACTGTATCGTCAATAATACACACATTCTTTCTTCGGGACCAAAGAGTCAATACTCAGGCCCCGCAAGCATAACTAAGTGCGTACATGCTGTTACATCTGCATCAGACACACTTTACTGCTGACAATATACAAAATGTAGCGGTTGTACCAAACACTGAACCGAACACATTATACCGTCTATATTAAAGATGATACGCTCTGTACGAAACAGTGTAAATATCCCCCCCCCCCAAAAAAAAAAAAAAAATCACATAATTACATATACTGTATCCACGAAGTACCAAAACAGTTCATCACAAATGACAGAGTTTCCCCAAATCTAAGTTCAGTACCCCAAGTTACAGTATATACGGTATACAATACCAAACTACCAATACCAGTATTGTATCCCAAGTATACAATATACCAAGCTTATATATACGGTATATATATATATACGGTACAGAACGTACCGTATATACTGACTGCTAAGTTACACCGCTTGACTATCAATCAGACGAGGTCAATGACCAGCAGCTCGTCCTGTAGCGAGCCACACCTCAAAGTCCGCAGTGCTTGCCTGTCCTTGGCGCTGACTACGTGTCCAACCTGCGACTGTCACCATTTACAACAATGACAAGTAAGTCTGCGGATTTCTAAGAATGAATTTATAGCGTTAGGGAAGTTGGTGGTTCAATTGTTCAAATCATGTTAAGGCTGGGCTGGTTTGGTGTTGGGCATAATGCCTATATCAACCTATGGCAGGATATTATGGCAACAACGACAGGTTATTGAGTAATCCGCAGGTATACTTAGTCCTGAACATTGTCTAGGACTAAAGTAAACTCGGTGTATACACACCGAGAAGCGAGTTACACCTCCTATCGTATATATGATCCAGTCGTTATTGAGAAATATAGGTATATAAGATAATAATGAATAAGTGGTAACTAGCATACTTATAACTGTAATATGTTGAGACTGTATTCTCAAGCATGATTTATCATGACTTCTAATATATTTTGATGTGATTTAATGCCGGTTCAACGAGTACAATTGTTCAACGAACTTTACTGAATATTTTTTTACTGAATATAATTCCCTAGAGGTAATATAAAAAGTTGCCAGGTACTGCGGCCAGTTGTGGCTACAACCTCCCTTCATGACGGGGTGGGGGGGGGTGACGATGTCATTCACGGCACTCGTTGTGTTCCATCTTCACTACACAGTAATAACAATACCAGCAGGCGATAGTCTGTTCTTGCACTTGTAGAGTCCTGTTGTCAGGGACCACAAGTCTGTATAGTGACTGTCGAGGCCTCCCGCCCGAGGGGCTAAGGCAACGGCTGCCATTCCCCAGGACCCAACCCACAACTGTCTACCATCTTCCGAGTGCTTACTGTTGACTGGCAGGCAGAAGCATCAGGTGTTAGGTCCTCCTTGGCCAGCGTCTGACCTTCCTCAGGATGCAACCCACAACAGCTGAATAACTCTCATACACGGATTCACTGTTAGGTGAACAGCGGCATCAGATGTAAGTCTACATACGACAATGACTAACCTTCACCAAGTGGCAACCCACAACAGTTCAATAACTCCCGGGAAACCCATTAACTGCAAGGTGAACAGAGTTATCAGGTGTAAGGAAGAGCGACCAAACTTTGCGCTCTGAGAATCCAGCCTGGAACCAAGCTTTTGTGAACCAACTCCCCTACCTGAATTTACCTGAGAGCCACTAACACAAGTGGCCTTGACGAGGACAGGAAGTCGACTCAATTTACTATTGGGCGACAGGTCGCTGAAACCTGTGATCGAAGTTCACTCTATATTTTTGTCATTTGACCTGCCCGAAACGCTGCGCGTGCTAGTGGCTTTACAAGACTGTAATTACCATATTTGTATCCTCACATTCCTTATGTACATTCTTGTATATGCATAAATAAATAAATAAATAAAATAATAATAAATTCATTAGCTTCGTACTCGACTCACAGTCGGGGATCCCGGGTTGACTCTCAGGTGGGACAAATGGCTGGATGTATTTCCTTTCACTAATGCCTCTGTTCACGTAGCAGTAAATAGGTACCCGGGAGTCCCGCAGATGTTGTGGGGTTGCATCCTGAGGGGATGGGGGGGGGGGATGTTTGTAATTCAACCCCTTGGAGATGGGGGGGGGGGATCTCGATATAAGCCTAACATGTACTATCTACTTGTGTAAAGGAGGAAATGTATATGTTTATCTCTCAGAATGTTTGGTAATGCGTTTATTGCTTGTGATGTGTGTATATGTATGTATTAACACAATGTACTGAACGGGGTGAGAATAGCTTGAGCTACCTCATCCCTTTGTGTGTATTTTACCTCAAAAACTTATTTCAATTCAATGTACTGTATGTATATCCTGGCTGCCTGTCCCCCGACTCGATGAATAATAAATTAATTATTACAAATAACACAATAAGATCAAGTGTCAGGATGTCTTTATTATTAACGACATAATCAAAGAATTTAACAGTTCCCTTTTGACTTCGAAACAGCGTAAGGGTGGTGAGTCTTCCTTCGGTTGAGGCTGGCCAGAGGTGAAGGGGTCTTTGTTGGAGTTGCGTGTTTCATGGCACTACGGCAACAGTATCAACAGCAGAACATTTCTTAAAAATTTCTCAAACTCGATGAATAATGTGTGACCATAAGAATAAAATTTTAGAATTTTGTTTTTTAAATATTTGCAAAGAATATAGGAGTTGTGTTTTGACTTCGAATCTGTGTGAGGGTGTTGAGTCTTCCTTCGGTTGGAGAAAGTACTCCTCCCAACCTGTCCTCCTCATACTCTACCTAAGGGCAAAAATTTTCGTACTAGAAAATATTAGCAGCTCGCGAAATTTACATAATGTCCCATTTTCTATTTTGGAAAAACTTCCATAGAAGATTAGGAGAGGGCACTTTAGTAAGACATTTTCTTCACGGGAGACATCTCCCGTCACGCAGGGTGCAGTCGCACCTCCGCTGATCTCCAGTATCATCTATTGATACTGGTAATGGCTCAAAAGGGCCACCACTTACGGGCTATTCATGCCCGTGCCACCTTTTGGGTGGCTTAATCTTCATCAATCAATCAATCGACATTTTCTTGACGTTTGGAAACCTTAGGAGGACGGGCTGCAGGAGTAGTGAGGGACGTTGAAGATATGTATTTTATGGTGTAATGGCCAAAGCATGAATAGCAGAATATTTGTTAATTTTATCGAGATCAGTGAATAATGTTGTATGACTGAGAAAAAAATTTACTTTGAAATTTTTGCTTTCAAAATATTTAGATAGATGTAGCTACCTAAATCATCGTGGGGTTAAGAATGTGGCATGGGCGACCCTGAGCAGCCTATCTCCGACCCGCGTCCACATAGATATGAGGCCTTATCTGGGGTTATCTGTAAGTGGGTGGGAAAGTCCGTACATAGCTCACCTCTCAGGAGGACACCATGGGTCGCTAAGCATCTACCAGGCAACCTGTTCTCTTGAATAATACATCGTATTTTGACGTAAAAATCCCAACAAACAAAATATAATGTACTATAAAGCACAGCGGCTGGCTAAATTGACGGGATATTAAGTTTTCAATTACAGGGTCCATCGGTTAGGTTAGGTTATAGGAATTTAGTACATCATTTTCCTGACGTTGTGACAACACGAGAGGACGGGCTGTACCTGTCACGAGGCATAATCGTCATCCGCCGACAGGCACGAGCAGCCGCGAGGCTTTGTGTAGTTCCCCACCGCAAGAACTGCGGGTCACATCTGGCACCGTCGCCTCTATAATTCAATAACAAGTTATTGAATTATATTTGGCTTGAGATGTGTAGATTATTGGCATTGTATATAATCCTGATCAGGACTAAAATAAATTGTGTATATGTACACCAAGTGACGAAATACACATATCTGTGTATAGTTATAGTGGTCTGTGATCAATGTGATATGTGATATAAATTTTTGAGAAAGTTTTAAGCCAGTTTGACTATGTAACATCTGAAAGAGATATTAGGACAAGGAGCTGGGATACCGGGACAAGGAGCTGAGAATACCGGGACAAGGAGCTGGGATATTAGGACAAGGAGCTGGGATAAGGGGACACGGAGCTGGGACATTAGGATAAGGAGCTAGGATAGGATAATAATCTGGGAAATGGGGACAAGTAGCTGGGATATTAGGACAAGGAGTGGGGATAGAACGGACGTAAGGAACAGAATCCAACCACTTCAAATATTAATCTTACTACTGCCACCAACATGGCCGCTACTAACATAATTACTAAGGAAAGAATGTACAAATAGATTGTTACACACCTAAAAATTCACCTTTTGCACTATATATTTTGCTGTGTGAATGAGGAAGGCAGCAGCCAAACCGTTTATAGACCTATATACTATAAATATGCACTAAATTAGGCTTCAGACTGCATATATATATTTAAACCTGGTTTGCTTATTTAGGCCTAGGTAGGTTAGGTTGATTGTATTTCATTTTTTATCTTTTATTAAAACTAATAGTATAAGACTTATTTTATATTACACCAAAAGTCGCCACAGGAACTATCATTTTTTTTCTGGAAAGGTTGCAATATCAGTTTGGAGTTGCGCTTAACTCCCATCAACCTCTATTCGGTTATTGTCACAAGTGCTTATACTGAACAATCAGCAAGTGTACTTGGTTTGTGGACAATGTTCTTAGCTAAAATATACCCTCAGATTATACACACTAAGAAGTGAAGTTATACACTTTTTGGTGTATAACACTTAATGTCAGTTATTTGGTGTGAAGTTTACACTTTCGACCACCGCAATTACCTACTGATCAACCATCAAGTTTACTTTACTTTACTCCTAACCACAGGCCAGGACTAAAGTTAACTACCAGAGTATATAAATAAAGTAGTATAGTACGCACTTGCATGTCTAAGAGATGTTGTTGTTTTAGATTCAGCTAATCGAAAGAAAATTTTTTAAGTAGCACAGACTATGTTAATTTAAGCCCGTAGTGGACTTTTGTTGGCATTTAAGTTTGTTGATTTCTAATGAGTCTATTGTGTTGACAAAATTGATTTACAGATTTGTTATGTTATTTGTATCATGATTATTATATATAAAATGATCATCATTCTTATTACATTATAATAATGAGTATAACAATGGGTATAAACTGGATAAGTTTAGATTTCGGAAAGACCTGGGTAAATACTAGTTCGGTAACAAGGTTGTTGATTTGTGGAATCATTTGCCATGTGGCGTGGAGGAGGTGGAGTCCCTTTATTGTTTCAAGCGAGGGTTGGATGTGTATATGAGTGGGATATGGTGGTTATAAATAGGAGCTGCCTCATATAGGCCAATAGGCCTTCTGCAGTTACCCTTATTCTTATGTTATTATTATTATTATAATTAATTTTAATTGGAATAAATACTTACAGCCATCAATTACGAGGAGTTGTTGAAGAATTTATCTGAACTGCTTGTTGTCGATGTCAGGACACGAGAGGAGGTGAAGGAACACGGACAACTTCCTGGTTCTCATGTTCTTCCTGGTGAGTGGTGAGGCGTCGTTAGTGTTGTGTGGTGTGAGGGTGAGGTATGTGTAGTGTGTGCTGAGGGGTGTGACGGGATGTGACGAGGGGGGGGGTGTGAGGAGGGGTGTGTGTGGTGTGAGGGTGAGGTATGTGTAGTGTGTGCTGAGGGGTGTGACGGGATGTGACGAGGGGGGGTGTGAGGAGGGGTGTGTGTGGTGTGAGGGTGAGGTATGTGTAGTGTGTGCTGAGGGTGTGACGGGATGTGACGAGGGGGGTGTGAGGAGGGGTGTGTGTGGTGTGAGGGTGAGGTATGTGGAGTGTGTGCTGAGGGGTGTGACGGGATGTGACGAGGGGGGGTGTGAGGAGGGGTGTGTGTGGTGTGAGGGTGAGGTATGTGTAGTGTGTGCTGAGGGGTGTAACGGGATGTGACGAGGGGGGGGGGTGAGGAGGAGGGGTGTGTGGTGTGAGGGTGAGGTATGTGTAGTGTGTGCTGAGGGGTGTGACGGGATGTGCCGAGGGGTGGTGTGAGGAGGAGGGGTGTGTGTGGTGTGAGGGTGAGGTATGTGTAGTGTGTGCTGAGGGGTGTGACGGGATGTGACGAGGGTGTGTGTGTGGTGTGGTAACGGGTACTTACTTATTAGTGTTTAGTTGTCTTTGCCTCGCCTATAAGTTTTGGTGTACTGTTTCGTTATAATTTAACTACTCTGACATTCGATTTTTTTGTCGAATCTGTCCCTAAAGTTGTGGATGGAGGTGGCTTCTACAAAGTCTTCTTTCATTGCATATCATTTGTTGGCCATCTGTACAGTATTTTATACCATTTCTTCGAATTATTTGAGTTTCTATTTATGTCCTCTTGTCCTACTTTCTCTCAATGCAAAGCGGCTGTCTTTTTCCATTTTGTCTATTCCCCCTCAGTATCTTGTATGTTGTGATCATATGCATCCTGTTTCTTCTATCCTTCATGGTTGTGAGATCTAGTTCCATTAATCTTTTCTCATAGCTTCAACCCTCTTTGTTCTGGCACCCATGTTGTTGCAAACCTTTGAACTTTTTCAAATTTGGGTTTATGCTTCACAAATTCAATTTCAAATAAGTTTATGGTTGTATAAATACACACAAAGGGATGAGGTAGCTCCAGCTCTTCTCGCCCCGTTCAGTACAACGTGTTCATATATATATAGACACATCACAATCAACATATTACGGGTCATTCTGAGTGGTATATACATTTTTCTTTACACATACAGTATGTTGCTAGACATACACAGAAATAATTTTATGATTAGGTACACAGACAATGCAACGAAAGGTAACAATCTTGATGCAAAATTCTTATATCTCGCCAAAATATCATCAATCTTTCTATGAATTCTATGCCGGTGTTGCATATTCCAGTATTGGGGTAACACATGTCGAATAGATTACCTCGGAGTCCTGATTTAGAATTCTAAACGATGTTCTGATGTTTGCCAGCGTTCCATATGCTGCCCATGTTACTCTCTTTATGTGTGCCTCTGGTGTTAATGTTGGAATTATATACATTCCGAAATCTTTCTCTTCTTCAGATTCCTATAGCTGCTTTTCCCCTATGGCATAAATCCCTCCTGGTCTCCTTTCTCCCTTTCCCACCTTCATTATCTTACACTTACTAAGATTGAATTCCAGCAACCATTTGTTTACCAATTCCTGAAGTTTGAATTCTAAGTTCTTCTGTAACTTCCTGAAATCCTCCGTGTGTAGTTTGAAGTAAGAGGTGCGTGGTGAGGGGTGTGTGTGGTGAGGGGGGTGTGGTGAGGGGTGTGTGATGAGGGGTGTGTGTGGTGAGGGAGGTGTGTGGTGAAGGGTGTGTGTTGTGACGGGTGTGTGATGAGGGGTGTGTGTGGTGAGGGGGGTGTGGTGAGGGTGTGTGTGATGAGGGGGGTGTGTGGTGAGGGGGTGTGTGGTGAGGGGTTAGTGGTGAAGGGCGTATGGTGATAGATTATTATTCAAAACATGGTTCTCTAATTTATAAGACATTCTGCCTATCACTTCCTCCACTATAGCTTCAACTACTATTATAACCCCACAGTGCAGGAGCTGGAGGAGTCCTTGGGACTGGGTGAGGAGTCCTTTAAGACCAAGTATGGCTTCCCTAAGCTTAACCCGGAGGACCCTACTCTAGTCATCCTCTGCAGATCCGGCAGAAGAGTCGGCTTTGCTCACGATATCCTAAAGGCCAAGGGGTTCACCAAACACAAGTAAGTGGCTAATCTAATCTAATTCTATCTGACAACCAACAAAGATATTTATATTTATCTTCATTATTCTTGGGCCCCAAGGTCGTTCAACCTCTGAACTATTTAATTAAGGCCACATAAGTGCTTACTGACCAGCCAGTAGGAATACTTTAGCCCTGGATATTATCCAGGTGTTAAGTAAACCTTCAGTACATATACAACAGTCGTTGTACGCAACCTGAACGTGTGTCAGTTTACCGTCTAGTTAACATTTGATATTGGGCTTTTTAGGCCTATTAACCTCTGGAGGGATATTAAGGCCACCATAGTTATTAACAAACAATTTATTCTTTGTCCTGGGCATAGTCCAAGACTAAGCTCAATTTTTCAGCTAATATACACTGAAAATTGATACAGCTAAAACTATACTTAAAGCTAAATATATATCATTCAAGTTTGCAGAATTAGAAAATAAATAAAAATATTTTACTGCAGACTTATAAGTATTTTTGTTTTGCAACCTTTAGGGTAATATTTGACACCTACAAACTTTTAGGTAATGTTTTTTGCTGCAGACTTTAAAGTAATATTTATTTTTGCAGACTGTATTACGGCTCATTCCTGGATTGGTCGGAAAAAGGCGGTCCTATTACCAAGCCCGGCCAGCCCTACGCGCCTCAGGAGTAACTCCTCCAACTGTCACACAGAACCTCTTGACCAACATAGGATCACCCATAAGATAAATTGGAGGCTCAATCACAGGAACAAGGGAAGGTTCATTCTCAGGAACAAGTGGAGGCTCACCCATAGGAAATTTATCATCTATTAACAAGTTGAAAGAACCAGGTGGATAATCTTATAGAAACAGGAGTAGTTAAAAGTTACAAATTAAAGTCATCTATTATGACCAATCTGAATTTTATTAAAATATATAAATTGTATGGTTTAGTTTTTATAATTCAAAGACTGGACTTGGCTGTTGGTGTATTAATAATCAAAGTGTGTTCTGGCAACATTCATATCTGGATGTAGCATTACAGGGAACAAAGTAATGGTACAAAACTATGTAATAAAGAATTTGTAAAATTGGTTTTAAGGGGGAAAGCAAACTATTAATCGGCTTTGCCGAAGTTCAAAACTTTTAAAAACCTACTACTAATACTTAATGTGCCTATGGAGTAAGTAAGTAATTATCAAAAAAAGGCACCAAACCGGGAAGACTATGTAGCAACCACGATCTTTAGGCACTAAGATTATGCCTAATGACATCATACTGACGTCCATACGATCGTTGCCCACTATTAATAGAGCACATGTTATCTCTTATTTTCGGTATGTTAGGATAGATTAGGTTGGTTTAGGTTCGTTTATAGAGTAGTGATGACGGAGGGAGTGAGGGAATTATCAGGGAAAGCGCCAAGCCATTATGACTGTATAGCACTTGGAAGGGGTCAGGATAAGAATTTGGGATGGGACGGAGGGAAGGAACAGTGCTCAACCACTTGGAAGGTCGGGGATTGAACGCCGACCTCAATGAAGTGAGACTGTCGCTCTAGCGTCCAGCCCAAGTGGTTGGGGATATGGAACATACTTTTCTCAGGTCTTAGACCCCACTCCTCTCCGAGCCTCGACAATGAAACTTCCCGTGATTTCTATAGAACCTCAGCCATTCAAACCAAATTCATATGAGTATGATGAAAAGCAATATTTACTTCATCAGTGTTATGTCTGCAAGGCTCCAATATTTACATGTACTGTCAGGAAAAACATTATGACCTATGCTATATATAAAATAATATAAATAATTTGTAATATATTGTATTGCAACATAAATACGAATTTAAATACAAGGTCACCTGGATGTGGCAATCATTCATGGTTAAAATATGACATATTGAAGTCTGACGGAATGTTATGACGAGGGTGTTCTTAGAGCTTGTTTGGCGTGCTGTATAGCTCGCTAGGGACCTGATCCGAGGCCTGGGCCTCAGGGACGCCGTAGGTCTCAGACAGGGATAGATCGGAGGCGGCGGCCACGTTGTCTTCAGGGATCTTGCCGATCTCGGAGTTGAGAGCGAAGAACTGCTCGGAGGCGGCGCAGTCGACGTTGAACCACCAGTCACACACGAAGTACTGCTGGTTGAAGACGGTGCCGTTGGGACACAGGAAGGAGTCGAGGCGGCCGTCGAACTGGCAGATGTGGAAGACCTGGCAGCGGGCCTCGTCAGCGGTGTCGGCGAAGTAACCCGGGAACTCCTGAGCCTGGCAGGAGAAACCGGTTTGTGGCACAGCGGCCAGGATCGGGTAGTGTTGACCAGGGACGCCGCCCCCGGGAATATTGGCGGCCAGGGCGGCTACGGGGTCTTCTTCCAGAGCGGTATCGACGGAGGAGGCAGATCCCAGCAGATCTCTGTCGTATGAGTAACCGCCATTGTCAGCAGGCGCACCATAGTTGGTGGACAAAGCACCGCCTGTGAGCCGGCTGGAGCTGGCCACTGTAGCTGCAACAATATGGTTACTAAATATCAAAGTAGTTATATCTATTGTCTAGGAACGAAGTCTGTAAGCAAAACACAGACAAATCACATTATCGTGATATATCAATGAGAAATTCCACAGTCGTGATGAGGTTCCGAACCTATGCACTGGATGGTCTCAAAGGCTTAGTCGACTAGAGCGTGCATCTGGGAACACCCGGTGCATATGTTCCAGTCCTCATCACGGCTCCTGAGGATTTTCTCTGTAAGTAAACATAATATTTGAAGTCAAATACGTTCTTAGGGCACACTAATATATTTACTGGGAAACTAAAAATGTAAAAGGAATCTTAGGTTACCCTCTACAAGACAATTCAATAGACCAAACACTATAATAATAATCGTAGTGGGTTGCAAATGAGGCACTATATTTTAAAAAATGAGGATTGATTAATGGTTTATAACGATTGGCCAATTATTCTAATAAAAGACTCACAGCTAGCGTAATTAGCAAATGCTAAATATGATCTCAAACATATTTAAATCAGTATACGATGATATAATTATATTTAGTCTTCTATACAATATTTGTTCATTTGATATATCACGTTATTGTTATTTTAGTGCGCCTTGGCACCATATTTGGGGCTGTATTATTATTCAATAAGTATTGAGTTATTTAATTGATGCGAAACATAATCAATGAAAACGTCGCTAAACATCAATAATTTAATCCACACTGATGGCATGGAAGTAATGACCTTTCAGTTCATCCTGAAACCTTAGAAGTTTTGGCTTGTCTCTGTCACTTCATACGAGGGAGTTGAGCTATTTTGTATTCCTCAAACATGATAATCCTGTTCTCTCGCATAACACATCGTATTTTGACGTAAAGGTTCCCAACATAAAAGTAAGAGGTGCTAAAAATAATAGCGGCTCGCACAATTTACGTGATGTTCCTTGTTCAATCCGTGGGTCCTGGGAATGGGAATGCTGTAGAGAACGGACTGCCTTCGCACGGGATACAATACTACCGTTACCTCTGTAAATGTGTACATGCTCTTATTGCTTACATAAATGTACAAGAACTCTGCTAAATGCAGATGAACCACGATGAGATGTACACCCACAGCGGAATCAGCTCGTTATCACGATCTGACACTCCGTAAAAATACAACCCTTTTACCTAACCCGAAATATTTGAACCCGAACAACCCGCCTAACTTACCGCGGCCGGTGCTCAGAATCGTCAATGTTACGATGCTTTTATTTTGGACTAAAACCCTCACAGTTTTGTCGGTTTGGTCGATTCCGTGACGGATGCGACGCATTAAGAACGAGCAGAGGTCAGAGGTTTATTACTGAACGCTGTTTTACCAGAGCACGACTCGCTAATCATTTTACAACCAGATTTGTTTACAACAGCTGGTTGAGTTTACAACTCAACAGCTGAGTGTACTGGGAGGAGACAGTAAAGGGATGGAGCCTAATCATTACGCCTTGGCCAGGGATGGAATTAGTACCGTTTTAACTTATGATGCAAGATAGTGACTGCGCTAACCACTATATACCCTAGAACCACAATATTGTGAAGTAATCAACATTAGTAGGCAGTTACACAAACGCCAGTGAGATTTCTATCCCAAATATAGGTAGACCAACTATCCCACACATAGGTAGTTACACGAACACTATGAAGAATCCTATTCCAAACAGGATGTAACCCAAACCCGTACCAAGGAAGCTGAGGAAGATGAGGTTCATGTTGGTGGGGAAGCTGCAGGAGGTTGTCTGGTGATGCATTCATGGCTCTCTGCTATATATACACACACGACGTCGAGCCCTAACACGCTTAGGTCATGGAAAGGCCCGTAGCAGAAGCAAGGTCGTCGCTGCTCGGGGAACAAGAGGCTATCTCTTCCGCTCCCTCACTTCCATTGGCAAACGTGCAGTAAATATTCGCTAAAGTACAGAGAAATAATGAAATAGTCCTGGCAAGTGGATTTCTTCATCTTCCTTCGGTACACGGATGTTGCAACCCTTGTAAAGTGAGACTCGGAATAAATTATTAATATTTCAACTGATCTGATATGACTTAGCGGGTTTTAAGTATCTTGTGTCTTATCTACTTACTGTATAGTATGGTGCAATATAACAAATACCTTTTCAATTAATATATTTCTGTTATTTGTATTGCGAAGCTCCTCTCTTATATAACGACAACTACTGCTGTTAATATTTTTTATACTTTCTATAATGTTATTATTATCCAGTGTCTCTACTACTCTCAATAACAATAATAATAAAATTAATATTTTTAAAATAAATATTTTATAGTTTGTTTTCCAGGTAAAAACTGCACTCCTCTGCAGTTATTCATAGTAAAAATCTTGCATTCGCCTCAATAATATTGATGATAAATTGCGTTAAATGAAATTTATGAAATACAGTTGTAATTAGCCTTATATTTTATAAGATGAATTATTTAGGTATGGCTATATTAGGTTAGGTAAGGGTTATATATATATAAACGTCACCACGGCTCCTGTGGAATTTCTCATTGATATATCACGATAATGTGATTTCTCTGTGTTTTGCTCATCAACTCCACAGTCGCCTGAGACTGATGGATGCCTACTACTAATTGTTGGAGTAACCGTCACCTATCTTGGTCGCTTCTCTATTGATAAAACACAAATTCCAAAATTTTTGATATTTGTAACACCGCGAGGGACGAAACTGATTTGTCAGTAAACCGCAATAATAGCCCCTGCCTCAGTGTTACTAATCAGGAGAATATATTTTGTTCAGTTTGTTTTGATTCATGAAATGTAGCCTTAGAAATTTATATTGTCTTTCGCTTAATGTCTCGCTCTTCCTTATATTTAATAAGTTCAGTTAAAACGTTGGTATGAATTACAAATTCGAGGTGCATTCTCTGATCTAATTTGTCAAGTGGAAACCTCTTTATACTTTCATGGCTTTTAAGTTAGTGGCAGCTAGATGATGGGCGACCCTCCATAAACATGCACAACTCCTTACTTTATTTAACTTGAAATATCGTTCACATAAAGGCCAGATGTTTACCAGTATCTAAACCTGACCTGGTGAGGAATGTATTTTCATGGGTTAGATAATGTTAGACTATGCTTAGTTAGTATAGGTTAGGCTAGGTTTGATTAAAAGAATTTAGGCCTGACAGTTCTTGATTGGGATTAGTAGGTTTGGCATTTCTAGGCTAGATTCGGATTAATAAGGTCTGACAATGATAGGCTTGGTTAAAAATTATTTAGATTCACACTTCTAGGTAAGTTTTAGATTATTAATGTCTAGAGTGGTTTGGTCAGGTTAGGACAGATAAGACCTAGGAATGCTTGGTTAGGTTAGACTGATTTTAGTCTGCCAATACAAAGTTAGAATAGGATTATATAGGTCTGATAATGCTGTTAGGTTAGAATTATTTAGGTCTGAAAATATTAGGTTAGGTATGGGGTTATTTAGCTCTTGCAATACTAGGTTAGGCTAAGGTTATCTAGGTTTGCAGTGCGAGATTTGGTTAGAATTCATTAGGTCTATCAATGGTAGGTTAAGCTAGGATTATTTACCTCAGACAATACTAGGTTAGGGTTATCAATAACTGGTTAGGGTTATCTAGGTATGCAGTGCTAACTTAGGCAATTCCATTTCCAGCAGTAAACAGAACATGACGTTTGCGAGTAATAAGTTCCGTTATTTTGTAATAAAATCAACCCGCATGACGAACGAGTTTATCGAAACTTATATTTTATATAGTCTTCTCTTGCTTCTTTGTTAACTTCATCGATTCCCTTTTGGAATATTTTACGTTAGTGTCATATCCTTTTTGCACCTCCTGTGTTGTAGCTTAGTGAAGGCCAGCACTATGAGCCTTTCACTGCAACTTATTCCTCTCTACTCTGGCACCAGCCTCGTTGAATATCTCTGGCACCAGCCTCGTTGAATATCTCTGGCACCAGCCTCGTTGAATATCTCTGGCACCAGCCTCGTTGAATATCTCTAGGACCAGCCTCATTGCATATCTCTAGGACCAGCCTCGTTGCATATCTCTGGGACCAGCCTCATTGCATATCTCTAGGACCAGCCTCGTTGCATATCTCTGGAACCAGCCTCATTGCGTAAACTACATTCTCTTGTTTAATTTTTGTTATTACAGGGGAGAACCCATAATGAGGCTACGTTCTCAAGTATGGGTCTTACGTATGTTGCCACCAACATTCTGAAAGTTTCCATATCTAGGTGCCAGAAGACTATCTCGACAGTTGAAAGCTTTGCATATGTTGCAGACATTAACCAGCTTTCGTGAGCCTCTGGCGTCTGGTTTGGAGGATGTTGATTCCCAGATTTCTCTCCTTAGAGGCGAGGAGCTGTCCCTTCCCTTCCCCGTATCCCGTTTATCTCATACAGTCTACTAGAGGGATTCCTGATGGTGCTCGGGTCTGAGTCTGTCTCTTCTTCCCTCTTCCGACTCTGCTATCCTCTCCCTTATTTAACCTTCGCTTCCTTTCCCTATTTAACCTCCTCTCCACTCCACTACCCACCATTTCACCCCTTCTCAACCTCCTCTTTCTCCATTTCCCTCCCTCTCACCTCCTCTTGATCCTCTCCTCCCTCGTCCCACCCATCTTCCCCATTTCATCCCCCCCCCTTTCCCATTAGCACCCCTTTGTCCCCCCCTCTCCCCGCTTATCTTCCAGCTGGACCCTGGCCCCCTCCCTCTCCCCCTAATCTTACATCTTCACTACATGCTATCTCCATTGCATATGCTATCTTCATCACTGCAACCATCTTAACTACTCTCTCTCTTCATCATTGTTACTCGAATGAATTCAGTTCTCCGTTTTCGAATAAATCATGAAATTGTGCTAATTTAACGACTGGAGTAAACTCCTCGGAAAACACATTCCCGATTTCATTTTAGATCATGGAAATCGCAAAGTTGGGGAGATGGGTTCAAAGCTGATATTTCTGAACATATTTAATTTAGGCCCCACCTCGATTAGCCTATGTCCATCCCCCTCCCCCAGACCATTATTCCTACAAAGTTGGGCGTGGCTAACCCTAAGCATCTGGACTACAACATTGATCAGACAGACATTCTCGCTTATAGATATTGATATACAATACTGAGAAATTGGCTTCATCATCCAGTGTATATAACTCGTGTTTCTTTAATACTTGTCTCTAATGCTCTCCTATATCTCTCGTACACTAACATTATTCCAACAGAAAGAACAGCGGAGACATGATAGCAACGTACTAGATTTTAAGGGAAATCAGCGAAGAAGCAATGTTTAAAATTGGGAATAGTGGAAAAATGGAACATCGATGGAGACAATATATATTAATTTATTTTGAAAAAAAAACTTATTAAATAAATTGTATGATAATGCAGTAAAGATTAATGTTACTGTTAAAAAGGCATTTATTATCGAATCCGAGTCAGCACAGCAGTCATCAGAACTCCTCACGACCTGGTTGGCGTGCTGTATAGCTCGCTAGGGACCTGATCCGAGGCCTGGGCCTCAGGGACGCCGTAGGTCTCAGACAGGGATAGATCGGAGGCGGCGGCCACGTTGTCTTCAGGGATCTTGCCGATCTCGGAGTTGAGAGCGAAGAACTGCTCGGAGGCGGCGCAGTCGACGTTGAACCACCAGTCACACACGAAGTACTGCTGGTTGAAGACGGTGCCGTTGGGACACAGGAAGGAGTCGAGGCGGCCGTCGAACTGGCAGATGTGGAAGACCTGGCAGCGGGCCTCGTCAGCGGTGTCGGCGAAGTAACCCGGGAACTCCTGAGCCTGGCAGGAGAAACCGGTTTGTGGCACAGAGGCCAGGATCGGGTAGTGTTGGCCAGGGACGCCGCCCCCGGGAATATTGGCGGCCAGGGCGGCTATGGGATCTTCTTCCAGAGCGGTGTCGACGGAGGAGGCAGATCCCAGCAGATCTCTGTCGTATGAATAACCGCCATTGTCAGCAGGCGCACCATAGTTGGTAGACAAAACACTGCTAGGAAACCGGCTGGCTCTGGTTATTGTAACTGCAATATAATCAAATTTAGGCATTTTTAAATAGCGTAATATAAATAATAGTTATATATTTTAATCAATAACACAACACGTAACCATTTTGCAGTTATTTAACTTTCCAAATTCTTGACAAAAGCAAAAATATCTGTGAAATATTGCATGGTGTTTTAATGGTGCTTCATTATGATTCTAATGTCGTGTTCCAGTGAACACCACAGAGGTTAAGGTGATCGGGGGTCACACCGAGGAAGCAGAGGAAGATGGGTTTCATGGTGAAGACGCTGCTGCTGGTCTACTGAATAGTTCATGGGCCGCTACGCTCCGTATATATACAACAGGAACCCCGACACTCACAGGCCAGGCGAAAGTCCCTCTAGCAGATGCAAGGTCGTCCATGCTAGTGGAGGTCGACGTTTTTCGTGACCCAGTAAGGTCACTGCTAGATAGTAGACTTTAGTACTGTTATTGTTATACACTCGACTTAGTACTGTCCCTGCTAGACAGTTGACTTAGTTCTGCCACTGCTAGATAGTCGACTTAGTACTGTCAGTGCTAGATTGTCGACTTAGTGCAGTCGCTGCCAGAGTATCGATTTATTACAGCCAATAGCAGATATTTGACTTAATGGAGTCATTGTCAGACAGATGACTCAGTAGGGTCACTGCCAGATCTGAGGTAGTTTGCATTGTGTTTGGCTATATGTTGCATAAGGTTGACTGCTGTTTAAGATTGTGTAGTGTATAAGTGAGTGGTGAAGCAGCGTGTAGTGAATGAGAATGTAGTGAATGAGAATGTAGTGAATGGGTGTGGTGAATGAGGGTGCAGTACATGAGTGTGTAGTAAATGAGTGTGTACCTAACCTTGCTTTGATTTCGGGGCCCAACGTTCCCGCGGCCCGGTCTCTGGACCAAGACTCCTGGTTGATCAGGTATCCTTTGGAGTTGTTGACCAGACCACACACTAGAAGTTGAAGGGACGACGACGTTTCGGTCCGTCCTGGACCATTCTCAAGTCGATTCCAGGACGGACCGAAACGTCGTCGTCACTTCACCTTCTAGTGTGTGGTCTGGTCAACATACTTCAGCCACGTTATTGTGACTCATCGTCTGCATCCTTTCGAGTTTTTTTTCGAGTTCTCTCTTGAACACTGTGAGAGGTCGGCCAGTTATGAACCTTATGTGTAGGGGAAGCGTGTTAAACAGTTTCGGGCCTCTGATGTTGATAGAGTTCTCTCTCTCAGAGTGTAGTGTGTAATTGTGTGGTATTTAAGTGTGTATTGTATAAGTGTGTAGTTGTCGTCAGTGACTGTACATTTACCCCAGGAACCACGCCAGCAAACACACATCGCAACCACAACACTGTAGCAACGATATTGCAACCATCAAAACGACGTAGTGGTTCCGTTGCGTGTGTTGAGGTCCAAGCAGCTCCGCGTCAATTAGTTTGAACCAGTAATTGGACCAGAACACACACTAATAAGTGAAGGGACGACGACGTTTCGGTCCGTCCTGCACCATTCTCAAATCGATCAAGTCACAATCGACTTGAAAACGGTCCAGGACGGACCGAAACGTCGTCGTCCCTTCACTTTCTAGTGTTTGATCTGGTCAACATACGCCAGCCACGTTATTGTGACTCATCGCCTGCCTTTGAACCAGTGACACTGTCCCAGGCCTCTGTACTTACAGATTTCCTGTGTCTATCTAAAACGTGAGGGATCAACTGCCTTCGGATACACTACTGTAGACAGGTATCAGCCCGTGTTGTCCCACTACCTGTTTACCACTCGTCCAAGATAGCGGGGTGACCCCCATCCTGAAGCTTCTTACTGACGTTAGTGGCTTTACAAGAATGTAAGAACACCAATGTTATGTACTCTCACAAACCTACGGTATCTTCTTGAATATAAAGAACACCAATGTTATGTACTCTCACAAACCTACGGTATCTTCTTGAATATAAATAAATAAAAATATACATTAACCAATCCTAAAATTATAATATTTATATCAACTATTTGGTCGGACATGTCAATATATGTACTGTTGGAACACTGAAGCTGAAACACTTTGTACGATTAATTTGGTAAAGTTCGAGAAAAAATCTAAAACAAAACTTAAACACTCTTAGACCTAATATAGTACGTATATGTACTATACTAGGCCTATGATAGCATTTATTAGAGGAAGGATTGCATGGAAGGGTTAGGTTAGGTTTTTAGTTATATTTCCCATTCAATAGAATACTGTTTGAGTTAATTCATTACTATGCCTCGCGACACTTATGGTCTCAGCAAGTCCTCCTATGGTTTTCCAACGTCAAGAAACTGTGGTACTAAAGTGTCCTTATCCTAACCTACCAGAGGACCCCAAAACAGAAAACGGAACATTGTGTCTATTTCGCGAGCCGCTGCCATTTTCCAGTACGACAGTTTTTGGCCTTAGGTAAAGTATGCGTCAAAATGCGACTCTTCTGTTGCGGGACGGGCGGGGGAGCATGGTGTACAGGCGCAGATATTTTATAAATTTCTTGAACAAGGAATCGCGCTGAGCGATCAAGCTGTCCTCTTACAAAGACATCGCTTTTCGCTCGTATGCGTTACTAAGGCCAACAATTGTTATACTAGAAAATGAAATCGGCTCGCGAAAGTGACGTGCTGTCAGACTAAGGCATAGGACCCCGTTCTCTGTTTTGGGTCCTCTGCCTTAGTCTGTAAGGTTAGGAGAGGACACTTTAAATTAACTGTTTTCTTGATGTTTTGAAACCTTAGGAGGAAAGGCTGGAGCATCACACAAATAAGGGTTTAGCTTGAGTGCTCCTCAAGCCGACGCTGGCAGAGTGGGTAGCTTTAGCTTTGATGTCCAAAGGGATTGGAAAGGATGGGGGAGGTAGAGGGATGGGGAGATGAAATTCAGGAAAAGGATGCGGGTGTAGAGAAAGAGGTTTGAAAGTTTGGTGGCATGGTACTGGATTTGCTAATGGTTGATGTCCTCGTGGCCCAGGTTCGAATTCTTGGATGGGGCATAAGATTGTTGATAATATATATTTATAGAGAGAGAGAGGGTTGAAATATGATATACAACCCATCCTCCAGATAGGATTGTATTTGTGTGTAACTAGGTGTACCATCGTTCAAATATCGACGTGGCGGACCAATAGAAAGTAGAATTTTGTACTCTTCACTTTATAGAGTCAGGAAAAATAAAGCTAAAACGGAAATTTATATATTCCTAAGCCAAGTATAGCACATATATGTACTATATAAAACCTCAGCGTGCATTAGGCCTAGGATGGTTAGGTGAGGTTTCATTAATTCAATTTCTTTCTTTATTATGCACCCCATACCCATCCCGTGGGCGGTGGTGTAAAGGATTACAGAGGCACATAATCGGTTCAGGAACTGAACCCTCTAGTTCGTTTAGCTAAGCAAATAAAAAAATTTTGACGCTAGTTACAAAATTATTAATTTAATTAGCAGCATAAATAGAAAAAAAACTTTTCCGGTTCGTCCAAATTCAATACTATAAGAGTCTACTTTCTATTGGTCCATCACGTCCATATTTGTATGACCGACCAGACTGTTACTATAAGTACTTTCATGTGAGGAGGCGGGGCTGGGTATGGTCCAGGTGCGTGACGTCACGATGGTCACGTCGACACAGGTTTTAGACAATAATGGATTTTAACGTAAATTTTTTTTTTTTTATACATGAGTTCTTACATTTTTGTACAGGCACCAGCACGCATAGCGCCTCGGGCAGGTCCTTAATCTTAATTTTCCCTGGAATACGACCCGCCAAATCGTTTAACAACCAGGTATACTCATTCACTGTTGGGTGAACAGAGGCGTACAGTTAAAGATTGGCGCCAAGTCAATCCTCCCCGGCCAGGATACGAATTCGGGCCAAATCGCTCGCGCAGCGCGGGGCGAGTGTCTCACCACTGCGCCACGGGGAATGTAAGAACATTCCACTTGAACCTTATCTGAAGGTATAATCTATCTCTTATTTTCCAAGGATATGTCATGTTTTTAGGAGAAGCGGTTGTGTCCGTGTCGGCAGAGACCTTGTATAGTTAAATTAAAACACACATCAATTTCTCTGACCTCTGATTTATTATAGTCAGCGCTGAAACCGTGACGGCAACTGCGGACTTAAAGGTCAGATTACTTCCTC